AGCCTGCTTCCCATCCACCCCTCCAAAGCCCAGCTTCCCCGACCAGCTTGGCTGCTCTCCTCACCTGGCAGGAGAACACACGAGCGAGCGGGGAGCGAAGCCCCTCGCGGCGTTCCAAGAAGAAACGAAGGCCAGGGAATGGAAAATGCCTGTCACTGGCTGTGCTCCGAGGGTGCTCCGCTTCCCCACGGCAGCGCCAGGGCCCGGCAGCTGCGCCAGGCCCGGCCAGCGGCACCGCGCTCAACTCTGACATTTGAAGACAAGGAATAATTTGGCTTCATTATCCCACCCCCCCCGCACCCCCGCCCCCCGAGGGGTCCCTCGAGCCGGGCTGGAATGTGCGTGGTAGGGACAGAACCAATCCCATTAGCACGAGGAGATTGTTTTTCCTTCGGTTTTGTTGTTGTTGAATCGCCCGTGGCTCCGGCTCGGTGGGTAGGTGGCAGGAAGGAGGACGGGCAGGGGAAAGCCATGGATGTGTTTTCCCATCCCTGGCATGGTGCTGCCCTGCCCAGCTCCAGCAGCTCCGTGGGGTTTCCATCTTTGAAGGCCTGGTGGGCTTTGTGGTGGCTCCAGGCACGATTCAAAGGAGAATTTGTAAGGGAAAGGGCTCAGCTCCACACGTGGGGTCAGGAAGGTGCTTTGAGCCCTTGTCCAGCTCCCCATGTCACCTCCTCATCCTCGCTCTGTCCCTGGATGGGGATTTATCTCCATTGGGGTTAAAAGTGAATTTACAGCTCTGAGTGTTGGTCAGCAATTCGGGATTGCAGCTTTGTGCTGGCAGGAGCTGGGCCAAGAGCAGGGAGAGGCAGCTGGAGCTGCTGGAAAATATCCTTTCCCATCTGAGAGAGGAGCCCAGGCTCTGCTTCCATCACCTCCAGGAGCCCTGCAGCTCCAAACCTGCTGCTTCACCCAGGCTGGGGACTCTCATGGAAGAATGAGAACCATCACCTCCTTCCTCCTACAAGACAGGAATAAGAAACCTGCCCCGACCTCTTGGTGTCCTGCGGAATCTCCCTGGCATGCGAGAGGAAGGGGATCATTGGTCCCAAATCATCAAAAGGGGGATTGGCACATGGACTCCTCCTCCCTGCTGACCCAGTCCTGGGATTTCTGCTCTCTGAGGCATCCCAAGGACCCCAGTGCTCTCCCTGAGCAGAGACATCCTGGAGGAGCAGCCCCGGGGCTCCGGGACAAGGAGCTGTGAGTGCTCCTGAGGGGAACAACGGGGTGAGAAACAGGGACAAAGGCACAATTGGGAGCAGATGGCAGGAGGGGAGGGAAATCCGTGCCTGGCCCGGAATTCTGTGAGCCTGGTGGAGCCAGGCCAGCTCCCAGCAGCTGAGATTTTCTGGAGGGGACAACAGCAGCCCAATGCAGCCACCAAGAGCAGCCAGGGGGGCTGCTGACCCTGATTGCAGCTGGTGAGACCCCCACAACCCTCAGCACCCACTGCTGGCACAGAGACCAAGCCACTGCCAAGGAGGGAGAGGCCACAGGGGTCTGTGGTGGAAGTGTAGGGGGGAATTTGCTGGATTTTTCCCCACTTTTTGAGGCGACTTCTTGCCACAGATGCATGTGGGATTAGTTGTGGAGCTGTGGTTGGACACGTGGACACACAGGGGTGAGTGTGGGCATAAAGGTGAGCGTGGACACAAGGACATCAGGATGAGCATGAGGACAGGAGGATGGACACAAGGACACGAGGACATGAAGATGGACACGAGGACACCGTGATGGACACACATGGGCACACAAATGCTCACCCCAAGGCTCAGGGTGCCCCCATGCCCTCACCACCACCACCACCACGGGTTGGAGGGTGATTCCACCACAGCCTGGCCTGCCCGTGGCCACACACCACGAATTTCCCTTCCCCTGTGAAGAAATGAAAGAGGGAGTGAGAAGGAAAAGGCATCGGGTGGAAAAGCCCCCGGCTGCCTGCTGGGGGGAGTGGAACCAGCGAATTTCATGCGTCTCCTTCTTGTTAGAGTGGGGTCCCTCCTCACCTGCTCCTGGGCACAGTTTCCTGCCCCCCGAGCCAGCAGTGAGGAATCTGACTCCAGTTTAAAGACGAGGAGCTTGTCCACGGTCTGCAGCCCAGCTCCCATCCCAGGAGGGGACACGCTCGGGGCTCTGCCCGTGCTGGGCTGGGTTTGCCAGCTGTCTGCACTGATCTGGGGCCTTCCCGCCTCCCCCAGCACCAGCCCCTGTGAAAATTCGGCACAAAGACACCCCCTGGGGGTGTCCCTGCCCTCTGAGGGGCACTGGGTGGCCTGGGCCTGGCCAGGGGGGAGTCATCTCATTGTGCCCACCTCAAAAGCTGTTCTGTGCTGGGCTACATCCATCCCCCAGCCCTTCTCTCTTTTCCTGCCCTCCCACCCCGAGGCACTGCTGAGGACACCGTGCAAGCCCCCAAATCCCATCGTGGGCTGGGAAACGTGGCCATGGCACCCACTGAGCCCCCCATGCCAGCCCCACAGGGCCAAGGCTGCCCGGAGCATCCTCCCACAGAGGCAGCGAGCTGGGAACGCCATCCCTCTGCACTCCATTTAGGGACAACCCCCTCCTGTCCCCATCGTGCGAGCACTGAGCCACGCTCCCCTCCTCCCCAGCAGCGGGGAGGGGGTGACATCGCACCCCCCACGGAGGGACAGGCAGGGGACGTGCTCCGGCAGCGGAGGCTGCTGGCAGGGAGCGGACCAGGCCTTTGGAAATCCTTCTTTGGCCGTGACTCCTGCCAAGCACGCCGGCATCCATCCCCAGCACCTCTGCAGCCCTGGCTCCGCGTCCCGGGGCAAACGGGGGCTCCTCGGGGGCCCCCCGCCGCTGCTGGCTCCGAGCTGGGGACCCTGCTGAGCTACTGAAGTGCTGCAGACGAGGCTCCAGCCCCTCGCGTGAGCTGGCCTGCCGTGCCTGGCACCGGGAGAGCTCGGCTGTGCCGCGGGCACGGCGCCAGGACAAACACACGCCGTGGGGAAAGGAAAGGTGGGACACGGCAGCCCCCCCAGCGCCGCGTGTGTGCCGGTGTGTGACAGCTGGGTGTGACACCGGCGTGGCCTGATTGGCATTTTCCTTCCTCAAAATGGTGCCCACGGGTGTTTTCAGTGGGGAAAGCCCTGGATTCCCAACCTTTCCACGTGCACGGAGCCCTCCCTGATGCTGCATCCCCTCCTTGCAGCTCGCAGGGGGATGGTTTGGGGGGCTTGCCCCACAGCATCTCCTCCCACTCTTGATGCTGAATCTCTCAACCCTGCAGCAGAGAGGAGCTCTGTTCCATGCCCATGCCAAACAGCCCAGCAGGGATTTCTCTCTGGTTTGCCAGAGGTTTCATCCCAGCTCAGTTTCCAGAACGGGAACAGCCCCGTGCCCTCCTGCTGGCCCCATGTGGGGGATCAAACCCACTCCCATCCTGGGATCAGCACCCCACGAAGCCACCGACTCGCCCAGCTCTGGTACAAACCTTTTATTCTATTCCCCCTCCCAGCTCAGGGCTGGGTTTGCCCTTCGGAGGTGAGGCCGGGAGGGCTCCACCGGGGCCGGGAGGGCTCCACCGCGGCCGGGAGAGCTCCACCGCGGCCGGGAGGGCTCCTGCCTGGGGATCGGGGGAGCTGCCGTGGCTGGAACATCAAAAACTCCACCGAGCTTCACACGCGGCCGGAAAGCAACAACGAAAAGTGGACCCCAAAACAGACACGAGCCCCCCCCCCCCCCCAAGCCTCCCCCAACCCGGTTCCCCAAACCCAGATATGTTGGATGGGTGGAAGTGACACGGAGCAGCACAAAACCGGTGGGGACGGGGATGAGAGCCCCCGGTCCCACCACACCACGGCCCCCGGGAGCCGCCGGCACACAGAGAGAGCCCAAAAACCCAGGGGAGGGGTCGGGGGTAATAAGTTAATCTGTACAGACGTGTTAGGTGACACGGGGGTGGCGGGACCGACACCCTCCCGGCACAGGGGTGTCCCCGTGGGGCGCCGAGGAGCCGCATGCCGGTGCAAATCAACCCACGGAACGATGCATGAAATCGAGTGGTGGAGAATGGGGGGGAGATGGGGAGCGGGGAGACGCCTCCATGCCCAGGGGCTGTACCAGGGTGAGCCGTGCTTGGTCCCGCTGCCCACTTTGAGGGCAGCACTGTGAGCCCAGGGACACAGAGGCCGGGTCCTGCCTCAGCTACAGCCCCGCAGGCTGCTCCAGCGTGGGGCAGGCATGCTGAGCCCAGGATGGAGCCATCCCTACAGGATGCCGAGCCCAGGACGGAGCTGTCCCAGCAGCTCCCACCTCCTGTCCGAGCTTGGAGTCAGGGAAACGCCGCCTCATCCCCTGCTTCTTGGCACCAGGGCCAGCTCCCCAAGGGCATCACGGAGCAGGGAGGGGAAGGAGCCATCCCAGGGCCCCTCCACCGCTCCGGGAAGGGGCTGGCTGGGTGCTCGCGTGGGCACGGAGGCGGCGGGATCCGCTGCCGTCTCCGGCTGCCAACGCCAAATCCCTTCGCCACGTTTCGGCTCCCCGAGGCAATCGGCTCCGGCCGGCGGAAGGGAGTTCCCAGGGCCGGGGCCGGCGCCTCGGAGGCTCAGCCCAAGGTGGGAGGCCGGGGATGTGCCGAGCCAAAGCTCAGAAGGCTGCAGACACTCTCCATCCCCCACCGCAGCCGGCTCCCTCCTGCCCAGCGCTGGACCCATGCCCGGAGGGCTGCGGGGCCCCGGCGGCTCCGGGCGGGAGGAGACAGAGAGTCCCGCTCCGGGGACGGGCTCCCTCCGGCCTCGCCGCTCTGGCAGCTCCCCTCTCGGCTCTGCAAGCCAGGATCCCAGCTCTCAGCGCATCCCTGGGGGAGGCAGAGCCGCTGCCCGGCTCCTGGAGCCTCCCCCGAAGCTGCCGTGCCCGGGGAGGAGAGCGGGAGCCGGAGATGCCCGTGCGGGAGCTGGGGAGGTGGGGAGCCGGGCGGGATGGGGGGCGATGCCGTGGGGATGGTGAGAGGGAGGTGGAGGCGGTGGGAAGGGGCGGGAGCGCTACAGGATGGTCTTGTCCAGGTCGACTTTGAGGGGCAGCGGCCCCGCGTCCTCCCCGCCGTGCGCGGGGCACAGGGTGACGGTGATGACGGGCGGCAGGGGGAAGGTGCCAGGGCCATCCAGGTCCTCCAGGTACTCCTTGTCCCCGTTGATGCTCAGAGGCTGGAAGAGAGGCAGAGACAAGAGTGCAGCCCCAGAAAGGGGTGCAGCTCACCCCCAGATTGGGGGCACCACGGGGCTGGCTGTGGATGCACCTCACACCCCACGCAGGGGCACAGCAATGTCCCACCCAGCCGTGCCACCTGTCCCTGACACCCTGGGGGCTGTGCTCACCCCATACCTGGGTCTTGACGTGCTGCTCGGGGGCAGTCACCAGGCTGGCACAGCTGAGCCACAGCATCACCATGATGGAGAGGAAGAGGCAGGCGGCCAGGATCCAGCGAGGAAGGCCCGAGCGCCTGTAGCACCCCACCACCCCCCACCAAAGAGGAGGCACGAGTTTATGGCAGGGCACGGGCTGGGAATTGGGGTTGGGGGGGATCTGCTCTGCCACGTCCAGCAGGTCCCAGACCACCTACTTGGACATGCAGCCGAGGAAGTCGTGCTCCTGCTGCGGGGGCTCCGGGGGGTGCGCCTTGGCTTTGCCCCGCGGCTCCTTCACGGGGGGCTTGTCCCCCTTTGCCCGGGGGCCTGGGAGGGGGGAGGCGATGCTGAACATGGGCACCCAGGTGGGCACACCCTCCCCTCTCGCATCCCCTTGCCAGCGTGGTGGGGGTCCCCCTCTCTCCCCAGGACCCTCTGCCCGCTAAGGGGGCACAGATGATCCCAGCAGCTTCGTGGAGCAGGGCCCCATCCAGAGCCCCCCCGGCGTGGGTGGGGGTGTGGGAAGCTGATCAGACCCGAGGAGCGGGAAATTTGTTCGGCTCTGGAGAACTCGGAAGGGAGCCAGGAGGGCTCGGAGGCTCCCAGCCCCCTCCCAGCAGCCCAGACCCCCCTGCACCTGTGTGGGGCTGGGGGACACCAGGGCTGGATCCTGATCCCAATCCTGGCTGTGCTGGCTGGATCTCCAGGGCCTCGGGTGCTGGATACTCCATCTCAGGCTGGGACTGGATCGGCAGGGAGAGAGGGAGAAGGCAGTGAGGAAAGGGGTTCCCACCCCTCTGGGCACCCACAGAGGGGGTCCTGGGGACACCCCCACCTGAAACACCACGACTTTGCCATCATCCGCCTGCAGGTAGAAGGTCCAGGTGGAGGAGATGAAGCTCTGGGCAGAGCTGACGATGTCGTTGCAGAAGGTGGAGACCAAATCCAACATGGAAAACGACTGCGCTTTCAGCTCCAGGCTCTGCAAAGGAGTGGGGACATCACCTCAGTGCTGTCCCCTCATCACCCACCCTGGCAGGGCACATCCCACCCCGAGGTCGTGGCTGGGTTGAGCCGGCTGCTCAGGTCTGGGCTCAACCTGCTTCTCCCAGGCACAGAAAGGGATGTGCCAGGGCTATGCTCCACTCCCAGGAGGGTCACCAAGCGAGGGCTGTGATCTCTGGGGTGACCACCCAGCTTTGGGGCCATCACCCAGCCCCAGGACCGTCCCTTTGGGGTGGGATCACGCTCCTCTGCCGGAGACAATGGGAGCGGAGCAGCCGCGGTGCCGAGGGCGTTCCTCTCCTGGCAGCCTCTCGGTGCCCTGGATTCTTGGCCGTCGCGGCAGTTTGTTATTTTTAAAGCATCCCTGCTGGAATCCGCTTGGCTGCTCCCTGCCACTGGCTCCGAACATTTTCCGACAGCCCCTTGCACGGTCAAACCAGCAAACAGGAAATAAATAGGTCAGATTCTGTATCTAATTATTATGCTAAATCTGCTTTGCCTGCTCGTCTGGGAACCTGAGGAAAAATGCTTCGGGTGGGTGGAGGGGGTGAGGGCCCTCCCTGTCACCCCCAGTCACCCCCAGATGCTCATCCCTGGCCTTGGAGAGAGGTTGGGAAATGGGATCAGGCACCGGGAAGGTCTTAAAACTGGGCTGCAAAGGAGGGGGTTCAAAGGAGCTTTTCACTCTTTTTACGGCGCGGATTCATCTTTGCCCGCACGTGCACGGAGCCAAAAGCCTCTTCCTTGGGCCAAAGTCTAATTTAATTAATTGGGCAAAAGCTGAATTAATTAAATGTAGGAGGGGAAAGCGTTGCTGATTGCTGGGAAGGATAACAAATCCAAACTGGGGGAGTCTGCCACGACCTCCAGTCAGATCCTCTCACGCTGGGAATTCCCTGTGGTCTCCCTGCCTGGCCCAAGCCAAGCCCACCTCCATTAATTTGCTTTTTAGACTTGTGACAAAGCAACCAGTGGTGCCTTGGATCAGCCTGGCACATCTGGAGCTCTCATCCGGATGGATGGATGGATGGATGGATGGATGGATGGATGGATGGATGATGGATGGATGGATGGATGATTGGGCTGCACATGTGGGGTGTCCCCCATCCCAAGGAAGGGGGGAACTGTGCTGAGCTCCATTCAAGGAAGGATTTCCCCATCTCCTTCACCTTCTCCTTCCTGCTCTCCTCCACCTCGGGCAGCTGCTTGCGGCACCCGGTCACGCACCCAAACTGCTCCTCTGCGTTCCCGTAGGCTTCAGCACAGGCTGGGGGAGAGGAGGGGTCAGGGTTGGGGGGTACTCAGTCCCTGGGACCCCTGTGCCCCTCCCCACTGCCCCCCGGGGCACATCGATCCGGGGCTGCGGGGCGGGATGCTCCAGGGGTGTCGGGTGTCGGGTGTGGCGCTGCTCCCGGTGGGATTTGGGGATGGGGATCCCCCCCGGGACGGCGTTTGGGGCGAGGGGGCCGCTCGGCCACCGGCTTCTCTCACCTGCTTCGCACTCGGCTCTGGTCGTGTTGAGCTCGGCGCTCGCATCCACGAAGTGACAGATGGAGAACAGCCGGCAGCCCCGGTAACAGGCGTTGAGAACAGCATCCTGCGGCGAGGAGGAGGAGAGCGTGGAGCTGGCACCGGGCTCAGCCCGGTGGCTGAGCCGGACACCCCCAAGGCGGCCCCCCGCATCCAGCGGGGGGGGCACCGGGCAGCGCCGCCCCCGCCCAGGAGCGTGGTGACGGCTGGCACCCCAAAGCAGGGAGAGCTGCCTGCAGCCCCCCGGGTGCCCCCCACTCTGGGTCTGCACGGGGCCGAGTCCTCCTGGAGGGTCCCCCCATCTCTGTTGACACCATCCAGGCCCTGGCATGGGCTGGCAGGAGGTGGGGTGCACTGCTCTGGGGCAGGGGTACAGATTTGGGGGGCCGGGCACATACTGAGGGGATGTGGGGGGCACACAGAGCCTACACGGAGGTCACCGGGGTTGGGAAGGCTCAGGATAAAGGGGTGACACTGTGGGCACCCCAAAGCCGTGGGGATGCTCTCACTGGGGGCACCCCAAAGCTGCTGGAGGAGACCATTGGGGGTGCCCCGGTGCCCCCCATGTCGCTCCCACTGGGGGTGTGCCCCAGTGTGGGCCTGCGTTGGCAGAGATGTCCCCACTGTTCCTGGTGGCCCTGCTGCCTCTGCTGTCCCCAGTCCCCTCCAGCGCTCCCAGTGCCCCTGGTGTCCCCCCTGGTGCCCCCATTGCTCCTGGTGCTCAGTGTGCCAGCTGTTCCTGGTGCTCCCCATGCTCCCAGTACTGACCCCGATGGCCCTGGTGCCCCCCAGTCCCGTCCCCCCCAGTGCCCCCAGTGCCCCGACGCTCCTGGTACCCCAAATGCTATTGATGCTCCCCACACCCCTGGTGTCTCCCAGTACTCCCAGTGCCCCCGATGCTCCTGGTACCCCAAATGCTATTGATGATCCGAGATTTCTGGGGAGCAGAGGGTGTAGGGGGACCATGGGCTAAGGGAGGCGCTGGGGGGGATGCAGGAGGGTTCAGGAGGAGCGGGGGGTGCGGGGGGACACAACAGGACCTGGGGTCACCCTGACACGGAGGGGCTGAAGAGAGCAGGGGGACTGAGGCCATGGCCGGGAACCGCGTCACACTGGCACTGGTGTCACTGGTGTCACACAGGGGTCACCCCTTGTCTCGATGCCACCCACATGGACCAACCCCTCAGGAGGATCCCCAGTGTCGGACCCCACTGTGCCACCCTCTGTGTGCCTCAAGGCTCACTGAGTCACCTTCATGCCTCCCCTCCTCATCCTCACTCCTCAGGGCCCCCCGGGCGGTCCTGGGCTCTCCCTGACACCCCGGATTTCCAGCTGTGATTTCCCCTGACTTTAAAGGAGATCAAAGGCACCTCCCACACCCCCCCTCACCCCTGCCCTGCCCATTCCCCTTATTTATGGCAGCACCCCAAAGTGGGCCCGGGGGGAGGAGGAGGGGGAGGGCTGGGGGCTCGGCTAACCTCCGGCCCTAATGGGGAACACATGGCAAGACCCCGGCGCGGGGAAGGGGGGGGGTCTCCCTGTCCCAGCTCAGCACTGAGGGGTGCTCCGTGTCCTGGGGTGGGTTGGGGGTGCTGGGGGGCGCACCCCGTGCCCCCCCCGGGAGCAGGGAGCGGGGCCTCTCCTCGCCCCGCCAGTTTATTCATCTTATTAATCAAAGCAGGGCCGGCAGAAAATGAGCTGCGGCCGGGCCGGCGGGGCTGCCAGGGCGCTGCGCTCCCCTTCCCCCTCCTGGAGCCCCGCCAGCCCCGGCCCCGGGTCCGGCACCGGTGACGAATGGCCGAGTAAATGGGGTAGATTGGGGGCTGCCACCGTAAATCACCGCGCCGCAGGTGGGGCTTCCACCGGCGGCAGGGGCAGAGCCGCAGCCCGGACCCCCGGGGGCACCGGGAGCCTCGGGCCGGTGGGCACCGCTCCCGCAGCACCTGCCCGCGCTGCATCCGCTCACCTTTCCACTGGGAAAAAAAAAAAAAAAGCCTTTCCCAGGCAAAAAAAAACCCCTCCAAGCTGGCAAATACTTGCTGCCCTCCCTCCTCCCCTCTCCAGGAACACTCGATGCCTTTCGCATTTATCACTACTGACCTACATTTCTTCCCCGGAGCCTTTGGGGAAGCCTCAGGCTCCCCCCACGTTGTCTGGGGTGTCCCCACTGTCCCTTCCGCGGACGGGGCACCCTTCACTCCATGTCCCAGCCCTGCAGAGCCCATCCCTCGTGCTCAAGCACCCTCTTGACATTCCTTCCCCTCCTCTAGAGCAGCTCAGACTCCGTCACGGGACTGTTTGTGCTTCCCAAAGCAAACAGAGGCGGGAAGGTGCGGCCGCCCTGAGGATGCTCTGGAGGGAAAGGGTGGTGGGGGCGGCAGAGAAGGGGTTAAGCGGGTTATAAATTACCCATGGATGTGGAAATGTGACTGAGAGGAATAGAAAGCAAACTCTGCCTGCTGGATTCTTTGCATTTCTTGCCTCTTTATTTTTCCCCCAGGTCACTTTAAAAGGATGCAGGCAGTCGAGGCAGCTCCGCTGCGCCTCTCCTCCCGCTTTTCCCGGGGTTTGGGTTGTTTTTTTTTTTTCTTGTTTGTTTTTTACACCCTGGCCCTTGAGCCAGATGCTGTCTGCGTCCAAGGATTTTATGGAGTGAGCTCTGGCTGGGAAATCAAGTAATTAGATTAATTCAGGGCCCTGGTGACACATGATGGAGGGAGGCGGGAAGGTGACGGCTGGTGGGAAGCCGGACCGAGGATGCTCAGAGCGGTTTTGGGGATGTCCCCAGGGCCACCCGCGTCCATCTGGGAGGAGCCGGGGCAGAGCAGAGATTTCGTGGCAGGGAGCTGGGCCCCATGGCCAGATCCTGCCCCGCAGCGGGGCAGAGAGGCCCTGGGAACGGAGCCACGCCGGGGGGGGCAGCGGGACCGCGCCGGCCTCGGGGGACCCCCGTGCTGACGCCGAGAGCCCGGGCCGGGGGTCAGAGGGGGGGTCCGGGCTGGATCCTGCCTCCGGCCGGTGCCTGTGAGCTCGGCGGCTCGTGGGCCGGAGGGAGCAGCTTTAAAGGTCACTGTCAAAGGGCAGCGCTGACCACAGCTGCGCTGAGCGGCCGCCGCTGACTCAGAGCGCGGGACAGCGGCTCGGTCACCTCCGGCTGCTGCCTGACGGGTCCTGACGCCACCCTGGCACTGCCCGGGGTTGGGGACCGCTGTCCCCTCACCCAGTCCCCATGCCACAGGTGCTGCTGCGAGCTGGGAGGTCCCTGTGCCACCTGGGGTGACAGCCCACCGTGTCCTAGGTGACACCAGAGGGGACTGACACTCCCATCACCGCTGTCCCCCCATCTTCCCCCTGCACCCCAAACACAGCCTCCAGCCACCTCCTGATGATTCCTCTGCCACCCAGAGCCACCCGTGTCCCCTCTGCCAGCGCCAGGGTGGAGCCACCCCCTCCCCGGGATCCCCCCCCCGCGCCTGGCTCCCCTAAACCCCACAAATTCGGGGTGCACGCCGAGCAGCCCCGCCGGCGCTGGGGGCAGGGTCTGGGCACTGCAGGTGGGCAGCCGGGGTGGCCGCTGCTCCCGGATCCTCCTCCAGAGGGGGAATTTCTCCTTTTCCCCAGCACCCAGCGCTGGCTGCGGTCCCCGGTGGCTTCCCGGGGGGCGCGGGCGGTGGGTCGGGACCGCGGGCGGCCGCCAGCCCCCGGGACAGCCGTGATTCACTCGGCCAGACTGCGGCCGCTGGGGCTGAAGTTTCTCAGGCTGGGTGGCTCCCGGAGCCTGACATTTTTGGGAAATTTCAACAAAAACAGTTCAGAAGCTTCCAAAAAACAGGACGATGGGAAAAGGCATTGTTTGGGCTCCCTCCCCCTCTCGTTTTTTATTGTGTTTTCTAATCTCTGCAATCCCTGCTGGTGCCCAGCACCTCGGAGCCCCACTCAGGGTCACCCCCCGGCTCCCCCCACCCCGAGTCCGTGGGGCACCCCGAGCCACCCAGGTGTCCCCTGCCACCCTCCACGCTCCGTTCCCGGCAGGGAATGCTGTCCCCTCTCCTCACAGCTGGGGACACGTGGGGACAGTGGCCTTGCCGCGACCAGGACCTGCTGTCCCGGGGGTCTGTGACCTGTCTGGGGGTCTGCAAAGCTCTGGGTGCCACCGAGACCCCGGTGGGAGCACGGGGAGGGACACTGGGGGATGCCCAGGTGGGTGGCTTTGTCCCGATGCTGGTGGCACTAGCGGACATGCCACCACCCCTGAGGACAAACTCAGTCTGGGGGGACTTGGAGCCACTTGGGGTGGTTTTTCCACTTCTTTGGGGTTTTGAGGGGGAAAGCCCATAGATGATGGATTCGATAGAAAACATCGGGATTTATGGGATGATATTCCTGTTTTCAACCCAGAAATAAGCAATAACAGGGCTTTGGATCTCGAAGGCGCTCGGAGCGTGGGGAAGCCGCGGCGGGGGGGCCCGTTCGGCGGCGAGAGCGGCCCCGGGGGCGCGGGAGGGTCCGCGCGTGAGTCACCCGTGGGCCGGCGGCCCCGGAGCGGCTCTTACTCACCTACCGGGGGGGTCGGGGGGAGCGGGACACCGGCCCCGGGGAGGGCTGGGGGCGTCCAGCATCCCGCGGCGGCAGCGGGCACCGGGCGGGGGCCAGTCCCGGGGCCGCTCCCGGGGTCTGTCCTGTGGCCGGTACCGGAGCGGGACGATGGAGTGGGGGGGGTGGCGGGGCCGGTGGCTTTCTGCCCCCCCGGGGGCGGTCCCGGGGCGGGGCCAGGGCGGCAGTTGGGGCTTTGGTAACCGGGGGTTGCTCAGACTTGCTCGGGACTTCCCCGGACGTGCCGGTGCGCTCCGCCGCCCCGGGCACCGACGGGCACCGGAGCAGGCCATGCCGCCGCCGCCGCTGCTCCCGATGCTGCCGCTGCTGCTCCTGCTCTGCCCGCGCCTGCCCCGCGCCGACCCGCTCTCCTGTGAGTACCGGCAGCACCGGGCGGCTCCCGCAAGGTGGGCGCGGGGCGGGCGGGGGTCCCGTCGGGGCCACGCGGGCTCTGCGCGGAGCCCCCCGGGGCTCTCCCGTCCGGCTCCGGCCCCGGCGTGCGGAGCCCGCCGAGGTTCCCCCGCTCCTTTCCGCGTGTCCCCTTCCCCCCCAGCGGTGCCGGGATGCGGAGCCCCCCGGGGCTGCCCGTTCCCCTCCGTGCGCAGCGTCCCCCCCGGCCCCGGGATGCGGAGCGGTCCCGGGCGCGGCGGGGGCACCGCCGGGCGCACCTCGGGGCTGCGCTTCGCCTGCTGCGGAGGAGGACGGGGACCCCCCCGCGGAGGGCAGCCGGGACCCCCTATCCCCTCCCGACAGGCAGCCGGGACCCCTCATCTCCGTCCCCGCAGCCCAGCCGGGACCCCCCCGCCCCTTCCCCGCAGAGAACAATAGAGGAACCTTTTTTGTGCTGCCCCCCATCCCCGAGAGCAGCGAGGAGAGCCCCCCTCCCCCGGAGCAGCGAGTGCTCCCTCTCCCCACGGAGAACGGGGACCCCGAGAAGGGCCGGTCCCCCTTGTCCCCCCTCCCCGCCGTCCCTGGGGGGCCCCGCGGTGATGCCCAATTTGGGGTCCCCACCCGGCGGTGGCAGGTCCGGGAGGTGCCACCTGTGGGCTGAGCTGTGCAGCGGCCTCAGCCCCGCGGGGATCGGGGTGCCCCCGGCCATGGGGGGGACACACGGGGGATGGATCCCCCCTTCCCCACAGAGCCCTAAACCCGAGGGACCCCCCAGTCCCGCCCCGCTGCGGCCCGAGCCAGGGGAGGGCGAGGTCCCGCTCCCCGCAGCAGGAAGTTTGGCTTCCTCCCTATGATGGGAATTTCTCAAGGCGATGGATGTTCTCCGCTCCGACGCGCGAACGGGACCCGCCAGAAACGGCACCGCTCGCCCGGCAGCTCCCGCGCCCCCTCCCCGGCCACCGCCACGGACCCCCGAGCCGACCGCGTCCTTAACGGGGGGCTCCCGCGGGCGTTAATTGGGGCAGGAATTGCCGGAGCAATAGGGCGGGGAGGAGGAACGCTCCAAAAATCCCTTTAGGGGCCGTCCCGGTGGCTCTCGGTGCCCAGCCCGGTGCCCACCCCGGTGCCCGGCGGGGCTGATCCCACCGGGGACCAGCGAGGCCACGGGCGGACCCTCGGTGGGGCTGAGCCCGCACCTTTCTCCTCCCAACCGGCCGGGTTCCCCCCCGGACCCCCATTTCCCCCTCCCCACGGGGGTCCGGGGCAGCGCTGGCCCCGCGGCCCCTCGACGTGCGGCGCTGGCGAAGGCGAAGCCAAATCTCCTTTTAGAGAGCGAAAGTTTCCCCTCGGTGCAGCTCGGCCGCGCTGGAATGCCTGGGCTTTTTATAAATCCTTCCTCCAGCCCAGGGATGGGCACGAGAAATGCCAGTCGGGGATGAGAAAAGGGGAAAAAAAGACTGGAGGGCAGAGTAGAAAAGAGGGATAAGGCATTTTTGGGTACCCTGTCTGCCCGCAAACCTCGCTGCTCGAGTTTTAGAAGAGCTCAGACTACACATATATATTTAATTTTATTTTTCCTGTGGAATTCAGAGCTTCCCAAATTCCCTTTTGTTCTTCAGGGCAATTATTTCTATTTTCCTTTAACCCCCTGCACAGCTCAATAAATCTTTTTTAACTGCGTGATCTCTGACACTTATCGGAGCTTTTTTTTTTTTTTTTTTTTTTTTTTTTCCTCCCCCCTTTTCTTTGCCAACCCCTTAAAACTCCGATATAAAACTAAAATGAAATCCGGCCCTTCGGAAGAAAAGCATAAACGTTCCCGACACCTTGGAAATGTGGTTTTACTTTATAGCATTACTTAGCACCTGATCAGCATTTTTTTTTCTTTTTTTTCTTTTTTTTTTTGCAATAGAGAAGCCATAAAACCCCCGAGCAGGTATTTTCGTTGCAACTTGCACATTCCACAGCCCGCCTGCTTCTCTCCGGCCCTTTCCTCTCCGATCGGAAAACTTCACACTTTTCCCTTTTAAAACACATGTTCGGCTCTGCGGCCGTGCTGAGAGGGGAAAACAATTCCAGGGGGGAAAAAATATAATATATATATGTATATAATTGGCCCCTCCAGAGGCTCCTGCTTGGAGGAGGGAGAAAAAAAAAAAAAACAACCAAAATCCAGGGGAAAAAAATACAGAGAGAGAAAATTGGCCCCTCCAGAGGGTCCTGCTCGGAGGATGGGAAACGTGTCTGTTTTACGGTGCTCGTGTGAGTTTCTGGGGCTGTTTAGATTAAGGTTTAGGAGAATCGGGGCTGGGAGTGCTGGGTCTGTTATCGGCAGAGCCGCGGCAGCTCCGGGCTCGGCTCGTGGCGGGGTCGGAGCGGGGTGGGCTCCTTGGCAAAGAGGGGGGGGTGAGATTTCCAGAGGCCTGGCTGGCCCTGGGAAGGGTTTGCTCTGGGGGGAGGGATGGATCCGTCACCATCCGCGGATGCTCGGGGTGTCCCGGGGTACCCAGCAGCATCCCGCGCGTGTTTGGGGTACCTGGCACCGATCCGGGGGTGCTGGGGGTACCGCGGGGCGCCCCGCACCAACCCACGGCTCTTTGGGGTACCCCAGGCTGCTTTTCCCCGCTGGAATTCCTTCCTCTCCCCTCACCAGCATCCCCCGAGCACCGGCGGCAATTCCTAATTAAGCGTCCACGGCATAACGCGGATTCCGAGCGCTAATTGCGCAGGGTGCGGAGCGCTAATTAGGGTCTCTCCTAATGCGTGCCGGGGATTTTGGGATCGCCGGGTGGGAGCCGGGCGCTGAAAGCCGATCGGGGCCGGCAGGTCGGAGGGGCGGGGAGGTCGCGGCACTTTCCGGGAGGTAATTTGGGATGTTATTAGCCCGGCGCGTGCGGATGGAGCCGATAAGGGCTGACGGACGCGGAACACCCCGCGGCGGGGGAGCCTCGCGGCCGAGGGGGCCCGGGGTGAACCGGGGTGGGAATTCTCCTGGAGGAGGGGGGAATTCTCCTGGCGGAGGGGGGAATTTCTCCTGGAGGAGGGGAAATTTTCCCCCCATCCCTCCCAGCCTCGGGATGGCGAGGGGAGAGCGGTGGGGTTTGGGAGCACATGGTGAGGATGAGGAGGGAGCTCTTGGGAAAAGCGCTTCCCACCCCAAGGGGGAAATGCCGGACTTTGGCAGTGTTGGAAAAGGGGGGGAGGGGGGAAATCCCCTCGAATTTTCTTTTTTTTTTTTGAAATCCTTTTGTGGCGGAAAAAACTTCCCAAGCTGCAACCCAGCCCCGCCCCAGCCCTGGGGGAAATAAAAAGATTAAAAAGTGGATATGAAAAGTGTTTTAGAAGTTCAAAAATAGATGTAGATATAAAAATAGATATGAAATGAGTTTCGATATAAAATGTATGTAGATATAAAAGTAGGTGTAAGGCGTATTTAAATAGATAAAAAATAGGTGGGTATTGAGATATAGAATAAATACAAAAATATTTAAAGAGATAAAAAAGATATAAAATATCTTTAGGTATAAAATGGATATAAAATATGCAGAAGTAAAGAATAGATATGAAACACATTTAAAGCAATGCAAAATAGAAAGCAGTGTCTTTAAACGGATGTAAAATGGAAACCACTGTGCTAAATTGATACAAAATAGATACGTGATGATTTAAATCTATATAAATTAGATACGTGATTTAAATCAGTATAGGCTTGCGATGATTTACATCCATGTAAAACAGCTAAACAACGTATTTAAATTAGCACAACACATATATGATGACTTAAATTGATACAGACGCGATGATTTAAATTGATGTAAACTAGCAAAACAATGCACTTAAACAGACATAAAACATATTTAAATGAACACAGAAGAGACACCAAGGCGTTGAAATCAACGCAAACCAGACGCAAAACTTATTTAAACACACTTAAACAGCTCTAACCCCGCCAGCTCCACACCAAACCCCCCCCCCTAACCGTGCTCTCTGTCTCTCCGGCTGCAGACCCCGCCGTGATTTCCCCCCAGGACCCCACCCTGCTGATCGGCTCCTCGCTGGTGGCCACATGCACGGTCAGCCCGGACTTTCCGCTGAAAGCCGAGGACCTGTACTGGACACTGAACGGGCGGCGCCTCCCGGCCGCCTCCTACGCCGCCCTGGGCCCCTCCACGCTCAGCGTGGCCCTCGCCCGCCTCAACGGCTCCAGGCAGCAGTCGGGGGACAACCTGGTGTGTCACAGCAGAGATGGTGGCATCCTGGCCGGTTCCTGCCTTTATGTTGGATGTACGTGGGTGGCAATGCGACGTGATGGGGTTTGGTCACTCTGTGCAGGGGTGTGGGCACTCTGTGATGGGGTCTGGGCACTGTGTCAGGGTCTGGTCACCCTGTCAGGGTCTGGTCACTCTGTGCTGGGGTCTGGTCACTCTGTGCGGGGGTGTGGGCACTGTGTCAGGGTTTGGTCACTCTGTGTGGGGGTGTGGGTGCTCTGTCAGGGTCTGGTCACTCTGTGTGGGGGTCTGGTCACTCTGTGCAGGGGTGTGGGCGCTCTGTGCTGGGGTCTGGTCACTCTGTGTGGGGGTGTAGGCATTCTGTGCTGGGGTGTGGGCACTCTGTGCTGGGGTGTGGTCACTCCTTGTGGGGGTCTGGTCACTCTGTCAGGGTCTGGTCACTCTGTGCTGGGGTCTGGTCACTCTGTGCTGGGGTGTGGTCACTGTGCTGGGGCATGGTCACTCTGTGCCAGTGTCTGGTCACTCTGTCAGGGTCTGGTCTCTGTGCTGGGGCATGGTCACTCTGTGCAGGGGTGTGGGCACTCTGTCAGGGTCTGGCTGCTCTGTGCTGGGTCATGGTCACTCCCTGTCAGGGTCTGGTCACTCTGCACTGGGGTCTGGCCATCCCATGTCAGGGTCCAGCCGCTCTGTACCGGAGTCTGGCCAGCACTGGGATGTGCCTCCCCCATGGGAGAGAAGCCAGGGATCCCCCCAGAGCAATCAGCCTCCTGGTTCTCACCAAACTGTGCCAGGAGCTGCTCTGGTGGAGCCCTGAGAGGCTGCTTCGGCAAAGCCTCGGTTAAAACGCGCTTGTCCGAACCAATAATCGTAAGATTTTATCTCGGGCTATTTTAAGGACGATGCTACGTCCCAGGAATATGGGATCGGAACGGGGAACGCAGCTCGGGTTTGTTTTTTGGGTCGCTACGCATTCCCGGGAATACAGAGGCTCAGCTGGGAATGCAGCTTGGATTTGGGGTTTGTGTCTCCGTGGCTGGAAAAAACCAGCTCTGGAACATTTTGTTCTTTGGTTTTTGTCTCTCCCAGTACCCCCAGAAAAACCAGTCAACATCACTTGCTGGTCCAAAAACATGAAGGACCTGACCTGCAAGTGGGCGCCAGGGACAGAAGGGGAGACCTTCCTGCACACCAACTACACCCTCAAATACAAGCGCAGGTGGGTGCTCACCTTCATCCCCGTTTTGTTAAAAATTTGGAGTGGGATTTAATGGGAAACAGGGAAGGGGCAGCTCCATGCCTCCTGGCTGGGGTGCTGCTGCTGGGATGAGTTTCCTCATGGAGCTGGGGAGGGTGAGGAGCAGCTGCTGCGGGCCTGGTTGAGTTGGGAATCCCTGAGTGAGCCTCGGGGCCGGTCCCCCAATTCCGGCAGCGTGGAAAAAAAACCAAAAAGTGACCCACGGGAGCATCGCGGGGGTGGGGGAGCGGTGCCAGCACCTCATCCATCACCTGCCCGCAGGTGGTACGGCCAGGACAACACCTGCCAGGAGTACCACACGGCCGGAACCTACTCCTGCCACATCCCCAAGGACCTGGCCCTCTTCACGCCCTACGAGATCTGGGTGGAGGCGTCCAACCGCCTGGGGGTGGCCGTGTCCGACGTGGTCATGCTGGACATCCTCGACGTGGGTGAGCCACGCCACCGCCGCGGTGTCCCCGCAGTGCCGGTGACCTCTGCGGGGAGCGGCCGCGCCGGGCTGGGGCGGGGGCAGCCAGGAAATGGGCGATATGTGAGCAGAATTGCTCCTAATCGAGTTAGGCTGTTTTGCTCCGAGTCGCTTTTTACATCCGCGGCTCCTTAACCCTCGCGGCCCCGCGGCGCTGCCCCGCTGTCGCCGCCAGCCCTGCCCTGTCCCCGCAGTCACCACGGACCCGCCGTCGGACGTGCACGTCAGCAGGGTGGGCGACCTGGAGGACCAGCTGAGCGTGCGCTGGAGCTCCCCGCCGGCCCTCAAGGATTTCCTCTTCCAAGCCAAGTACCAGATCCAATACCGCGTGGAGGACAGCTCCGAGTGGAAGGTGCGTGGGCACCGCCGGGGGACAGCGCGGGGTGGCCGGGGGTCCGGGTGCTCCCGTCTGGTCCCTCTGCAGGTGGTGGATGATGTGGGCAACCAGACCTCGTGCCGCCTGGCCGGCCTGCGCCCCGGCACCGTCTACTTCGTCCAGGTGCGCTGTAACCCTTTCAGCATCTACGGCTCCAAAAAAGCCGGCATCTGGAGCGACTGGAGCAACCCCACGGCCGCCTCCACCCCACGCAGCGGTGAGTGCGGCCGGCAGCGCCCGCCGGTGCCGCCGGTGCCGCGCTCCCCTCCCCGCGCACCGGGGGATGTGCGGGGGCCCTTCCCCGCCCCGTGCCCGGCACCCGGATTTCTCGCAAAGGAGCCAATTTGGAGCTCGGCTTTCCCACCTGGGAGCCAAAACCTGCTCGTGTTCCTCCGGGCCCTCCTCATTCACGGCACGGCGGCGATGGGGGCGTCGAGGCGCGTCCCCCCACGTGCCGCTGACCCCCTTGTCCCCGCAGAGCGAGTGGCGGGGGGCTGCGACCCCAAAGGGGGGGAGCAGAACACGACGCTGCGGCGGGAGCTGAAGCAGTTTTTCGGGTGGGTGAAGAAACACGCCTACGGCTGCTCCAACCTGGGCATCAAACTCTACGACCAGTGGCGCGTGTGGCTGCAGAAATCGCACAAAACACGCAACCAGGTAGGTAAGGAGCCTTTCGCACTTCTTCTCCCCGGCTGGGTGGGGACGGGGGGTGG